ACTTTATGGCAGTTGCCCAGGGCATCATCGCAAGGAGGATGGCATTCATTTACTTTTGTTTTATTTGGTATTTTTTCAGTCATTTTTGGAAATAGTGATCAATTTTGATTAATTCACAGCCTATGTTTAATTACATTTAAAATAAATGTCAACAGATGAGATCAAACAAAACAGATGAGAATTGCCCTTAAGCTGTTTAACTTGGACCAAGCATTTTAGGTCACAGATAGATGTAGCTTAGGGTCTCTGTCTATACACCTTATAAGACAATTTAGGTGATGGCATGTTGTTTTTCTGCTATTGAACTGTTTTCTAATAATGTTGTGTTAAATAAAGTGAAGGAAGGAGAGAAATAACGTTTCCCTAGCAGTTTTTAAAAATGTCCCCATGTAATCCGATTAATCGATTAATCGTGTCGAGACCCCATCCGATTAATCGATTATCCAAATAATCGTTTGTTGCAGCCCTAGATGGAAGACCACGGATGACGCCCACTGTAGTGAAATGAAACATATCGGCTCCACTGTAAAGTGAGTTGCTTTTACCACACACTGTTATAACTCCAGTGGGGTGAATTCTGGCGATGTCAGCAACTTGTTGTATTTCATCAGGAAGACAGGGACATGGACAAATGTGATGTGTTTTGGATGGGTGGGTATATCACCATGGAGGACACGCGGTACCGTCACTGTAGTGAAATGCCGGGTAATTATTTACAGTATTATTGCTCCAATGTAGGCTTGCGTGTGTTAAAATCAGTGTTGGGAGTAACGCCGTTTAAGTATAACGGCGTTTCTAACGGCGTTCTTATTTAGGTAACGGAATAATCTAATTAATTACTTTTCCCGCCGTTGCAACGCCGTTACCGTTACTGGGGACGGAAGGTTGTGCGTTACTATGTGCTTGCCGAACGTTGAGCAGCAGCGTGAGGCTTTCTGACCGCCACACTTCAGCTGCAGCCAGGGAGAGAGAGGTGTCGGTAACGCACTTACAAACACCATGGTGATTGGCCGGGTGGGCGGAGACCCTCACGGTCTCAGTCGCTGCCTGCTGTAGACTCAACGGGAATAACTCCGTTTAAAATAACCGCGTTAATAAAACATCTTTCTTTCTGTAACGAGCAAACTAATTAATTACGTCTTCTTTTATCAAAACGTCGTTTCTGTTACTGATAAGAAAATGCGTGCGTGAAGCAGCGCGGTGTGTTGAAGCTGTCATCATCAGCTGAGCAGGAGCTAAAGAGGCAGATGTTTAAGAGCATCACGGCCCGTGAAGAACGAGGAAGACGTGATGAATATCTACGGCTGCAGACCCGCAGATTTGTTGCTGCAGCAGCGAATCTGCGGGTCTGCAGCCGTGCCCTTAGCGTGACAGCGGGACGTCCTGAAGGTCCGCTCACCTGTTCACCGCTCAGACATCCTGATCTTCTGCCTTCCTAGATCATCCAGCTGTAACCTGTTTCTGATCATGTCTTTAGTCCCGCTGTAACACTGATGCATCTGTCTCAGACGTCATGGAGCTCAGGTGTTATCAGAACTACCTGTGTGTGTTTACCACCCAGCTTCAGCTCTTCTGTGGTTGGGTCTGACCCACGTTAGTAAATGTAAGTCCTCCATCAGGCTTGTGCCTCTTCTAGTGTCATTTTAAAGGTTTTATTTATTTATTTAACCGTTACTAGATTAGCAGCAACAGAAATGCTGCTAAAAACACACAATTATGTGAAGCTGGAAAAATTAGAATACTGTGCAAAATTACATTCATTTCTGTAATTTAACTAGACTGAGAGACCATTTAAAGGCTCGGGAACCTTTACAGGTGTTTTAAATGTTAGCTGATTGGGGTCTTGTTAAATATCACACAGTGACCTTTTAATAGTCTAGATAAGTGTAATGTTCCTATTAGTAGTTCCTCCTGTTAAGTGCTTATTTGTTTAAATTATTCAGGTTAATAAAAAACATTTGGACATGCATTTTATTATGTTCCAGTCATTAGTCATTTATATTTTACTATTGTAGTAATTCTTGCATGCTTTAATGAAAAAAGTAACTAAGTAGTTACTTTTGTTGGTAATTAGTTACTTTTATGATCTTGTAACTCAGTAACTGAGTTACTTTTTTGACAAAGTAATCAGTAACTATAACTAATTACTTTTTTAAAGTAACGTTCCCAACACTGGTTAAAATGACGTTGTTTGTTTAGTACAGTGTTTCCCTTACATAGGCGTAACCATGGCGGCTCGCCACGGCTGAAATCCCAGCGCCACGCCTACAAGATCAAAAGTTTTATTGATTTTTTTTTGCGACATTTCCCGAAGAAGCAGCGGGAACTACTCTGTTGTTGCTTGTGATCACAGCCGGTAGGCAGCAGGGAGGAGGAGGCAGGGCAGGGTGGTTACAAACAGGCATGAGCCGGACACTCATCGTTTCAGACGAGTAACCGGTACGGATAAAGCATTTTTGACGAATACGAGCATGAAACGAGTAAAACTCGTAAATATCTGTAATCGTGCTGAAGGAAAATCCTCATTGGGTAACTGACTGTCTTCACGCCTTGTGATTGGCCAGTGACATGGAGCGCCCGCCCCTCCCTACACACAAAACTCTGCAGCTGGGAGCTCTGTCCGTCCGGCCCACGCCCACACACACACACGCACACGCCCAAGCACACGCACACACACACACACACACACACACAGTAACAGATCTCTCTGTGCTTGCTTCACTGTTCCTCACGTTTCTACAGAACTCCCAAGGTTTTCTTCACCTCGCCTCTTTTTCGGTTTAATATTTAAAGTTACTGTTTTCGTAGCTAACGTACGTGGTGCATTTGACAAGACAGAGCTGAAAACGGCTCGTGCTGCGTCAGTCACTGCCTCCGCTCCAGTCGGGTTTTTATTTATTTATTATTTTATTTTAACTCTCTCTCTCTCTCTCTCTCACACACACACACACCTCAGTCAACATTGTTTTGTTTAACTGTGTGTGGGAAAACAACGTTAGGAAAAAATCTGTTTCATCAAACTAAAATAAAATGGTTATAGTATTTCATATTTCCTACTGCATGAGGTCAGATGTAATAATTCATGCACTTAAACATTAATGTTCTGATTTTACTGAAAAACTTGTTCTGTAATAGTTCCTTTACTATTGTGATCAAACATATTTCATCTCAGTTCTGAGGCTGCTCTGTAAATAGTTTTCAAATAAACAATACACATATCAACTTCTGGTCAATCCATATCAATTTCAGATTTAAAATAATGTATTGATGTAAGCCACACCCACTAATGTACAAATAATAAATAAGAGGTTCATCCATCTGTGTATCTGATCCGCATTAGTGATATTTTCAGCACCAGAACAGTGAAGCAAAGAAACAGATTCCTGAGTTTATGTTAGTAATTTTATTTATTAGGTGCATCTGACCTGTTCTATTTTTCTCTGAAATGAGATCAAATCAGTGCTTCTATGGGTTGTCTCCACTCTGCACTAGAAACATGTACTTTATTATAATGTCCACTGTAATGCATCTTGATGTTCTTAACAAATAAATTAAATCAAAGATATTGGTCAGTAATGCCAAATATGTAAATTTGTGTTTCAGTCATTTTTATACTGGCTTAAAAATACTTCCATGCTTTCGTTCTTTTTTAAACACAGAAACAGTTTTGTTTACCTGTTTGTAGCTACGGTTTCGCCGACAGCTGCCGGCTTCTTCAGGCTGAAGAAGCCGGCAGCTGTCGGCGAAACCGTAGCTACAAACAGGTAAACAAAACTGTTTCTGTGTTTAAAAAAGAACGAAAGCATGGATTTACAAAGACACAGCAAGAACACACCTAAGATGTTTAAAAATACTTCATTAAGTCTACTAATCAGAGGTGTAGAAGGTGTTTAACAGGGCCAGCCCGGTAATGGTCTTAGACCAAAATAAAGGGGGCAGAAGGAGATGTTTTCCAGACGCCAAGAAAAATTAAATACCAACACCCCCCCCCCCCCCCCCCCCAAAGTGTGTCACTGAGAGTTTAAAACAAAAATTATTCTTGTGCAAATATTGGTGTATTCACCTTTAATACTAGTTATTCAAATGCAGCAGTTGCTGGATTGGTGCAGTTCAAAGTGGAGTGCATCAAATAAAACCGTATTAACATAAAGGTGAGACGTGTCATAACCCCCCACCCCCACCCCCACCCCCCACCACACCTGGAAACATTCCTAGGGGAAACCTAATATTAATGTTGATGGGGGAATCACTGTAGTACGAGTGTGACCGTTGGGATATCTAGTCTCATCCTGGAGAGAGCAGCGGCTGAAGCCGGTGTTACCAGCAGCAACAAAAACTTTTAGAAAAACCTGCTTCGACCTAAAGTGAAACTATGTTTACAACATAATGTCATAAAGCCAGCGGGTGAGTTTTGGCAAAGTCGGCAACTTGTTTACATCGGGTAACAGCGGCAGAGAGGACTTAAGCTAACGTTGGTAAGCTAGTTAACAACACTTAAAGCTAACGTTGGTAAGCTAGTTAACAACACTTAACTTTTGTAAACACCACTGTATGATCCCCACCTACAGGTGTGCTACTTCTTCTGATGACTGAACTGAGCTTGAACTAGTAGAAGAAATGCTAAACAACAAAAACAACAACAACAGCCATTTCAGGCTATATTTTCCCTTTGTTTAGTACTTCTGATGCTCACTGTTTACATGCTTTTGCCAACCAATATGGTGGACCCACGTGATTAGGTGACGTAGGTGCAAAAGCATGTAACACCCGAAACGACGTCATCTAACAGAGAGCGATAGCCACGCCTCGTTGAGATCTGTTGATTAGTTAGTACATCTCTACTTTTTACTATTCTAACTAGGCTAACAGAAAGCAGTCACGTGACTCGGTGCATTTTAAATGTAGCGCGGCTAAAACAACCATCAGCAGTACTCTGGTTCCAGAGCCCTGTCTAAGCACACAGGTGCTAAACAATACAACTCCCATGATGCATCGGTCACCTGCACGTGTAGCTCAGGTTGCGTCTGACGCTCCGCTTGAAGAAGCTCTTGCAGCCTTCGCAGGTGAACACGCCGTAATGTTTCCCGCTGGACTTGTCCCCGCACACCACGCAGTCCACCACGCAGGCCTTGTCCTCGTCCCCGGCCTCCATGTCGCTGCCCCCCGCCTGGGGAGATTCGTCCTCTTCCTCCCCCCTCAGGTAGCTCTTGTCCCCCAACCCATTGGTGCCCCCGTTGGGATCTCCCCAGCCCCCACTCACCATGGCCATCGCTCGGTTACCGAACCACCGCAGAGAGGAGGGGGCAGGCCGCCAGCAGCTCTGGTCGCTGTCAGAGGGTCACATAAAAAGCTCCCGGAGCAGCTCGTGTGTGGACTAGTTGGTTCTAATAGGTGTTGAGCTAAAAAATGTCACCAGGAACCGCAGCCTACTCCCCTCTGACCTGCAAACGGAGTTCAGCGTGGAAACTTTTCACATCCCCGTGTTACGTCGCCGTTGCTTCCTTCTGCCAGCTCGTAGCTTGTTCGGTCTACGGAACCACCGGTCCGGTCCAGTTCACACTTTGACCTTTAGCAGAACACAGTCCCGTCAGATGAACGAGCCTCTCCAGCCAGCAGGACAGGAACACATTCCGACTGAACAGCTAGCTAGCCGTTTCTGTAGCAACAGTAATGGCTGAAAAAGGACCTCCGCGTAGCTCCCCTCGGCACATGCCGGACGGGATGCGATCCGCCCGCCCCTCACCGGAGGAACCCGCTCACAAACCAAACAATAAAAACAAACGCTCCCCCCACGGAGACCGGTCCCTTTGGGTTGCACAGGCTGCGGCGGTGCCGGTGCTTCGGGTCCAGAACATCCGAGCAGATCCACACAGCCTTGGTTCGGTTCGGCTGGTCGGTTTCCCCACCGAAAGCTAAACGAGAGACAGGAGGTGATCTAGTTGGGCGCTCTCCGGGAACTAATCTGCCTCCGTCAGCCTTTTGTTGGTGCCTGTCCACCGAGAGCTAATGGCCGGACCGACCGTGCGTGCAGCACGGGAGGGGGAGAGGGGTGAGCTCCTCCGCGCTGCCCTCCCAGGGCTCCACGTTAAATAGTTCTGAAGTGGATCGAACACACTTCAGCCTATTTTATTATCATTTACCTCTCTTTTACTCTCGAACACCTCCTTTAATCTGTAAGGAGACCGCTTCAGAACCGTGGGGGAGGGGCTGTGCGTGTGCGCGCGCGTGCTCCAAGGGATTTGGCACTGCTATTCAAGCGCTGTGGTTGCCATGGCGCTGGCTGCCTTATATGGACATTAGAGTCAAAGAGCAAAAGAGAGTGGGCTCTGTGGGCAAACACACACACACACACACACACACACGCACACGCACACACACACACACACACACACACACACACACACACACACACACACACACACACACACACACACACACACAGAAGAATGCTGAGGGAATCTCACCACAAACACAAAGCGACTTTTGTCTCTTCGAGTCTTTTAGGTAAATACTACAACGTGGCTAATTAAGCAGCTAGGAAAATCAGCATCTGTTGAATGTAATTAGCATCTTCTCTCGCTGCGCCGTGTTGAAACTTCAGCGTTCCCACGTCATGGCCACAGCTGGTATTCCTAAGGGCCTCTGCCTGTGCAGCGTGTGGGGATTGTGCTGGAGGTCAACCTGACATCCACACCCCTCTCCCCGCCAAGGAAACAGGAACAAGCTCAGGGTCAGATGCACAGCAACCCTGGATAAGAGATAAGAGACGAGTCTAAAGGTGCAGCGCACTGGGAGTAGGATGGCTGAGAGTGTTTGGATTCCCTAAAAGGTTCAATATATGGACCTCGTCTTATCTCGAGAGCAGTTAGCGATTTAAAGGTGGCCGCTTTTATGGCATAACTGAATCCAACCGCGGCTTTACCCCTGTAGAGAGCAGCACGTCTGCACTTATCTCTCCCTGTGTTGTGACAGAGCTGGTTGTAAACGAGATAGCATATTACTGGGTTGCTAATCTGTTCTCAATCTGGAGAACTGTAAATAATCTCTAAATAAGCAACTGTCCCCATTTCCAAAACACCATAAGGTACTGAGAGGTGGGTGAGTGGGCTCGTGTTATTAACGCGTCGTTTTCATGGCAGGGTGATGACTTTAACGTGGACAGTTGAAATCTCTGCAAGGTGAACCCGACTCAACTTCCCTTTAACTCCAGGCTCCAAATGCATGTGGACGCTAGCGGTCACCAGATAGGTGCCCCTAGCACACTCTGAGCATTCAGGTGATGCTTTCCTTGTTGAAGCATCCTGCATGCCTGAGAAGGTCTGATCACCTTTAGAAGGAGACAGAACATGTAAGGGGTGCCCACATGTATAAACAGTACATAGACAGTCTCCGCTTCTTAAGAATAGAGTAGAAAATAGAGGCCAACTGACATATTCATTTTCTTGTACATCGGCCAAAATTATTTTTAAAAGACGATTGAAAAAAAAAACAGGCGTCTGTGTGGCCAACTGCTTCTCCGAGACTGAAGGAAGGACCCCAACACGCCGGGTCTTTTTTAATGTTTAGAGTTTATTTTATATCTGAAGTTCAACAAATATTAAGAGATTTATGGACTTATTTAATTTATACTGCACACAGTGAGTGTTCAGGTGCCTTTCACAACCAATGTGCTGTTAAAACATTATATATATATATATATATATATATATATATATATATATATATATATACCAACCTTAATAATCGAGTTTAGATATCGGCAACACAATTCTTTAAAAGTCGGCATCGGCCTTAAAAACCCATATCAGTCAGCCGCAAATTGAAAATACGTTATTAATCCCGTGAGGGAAAATTCTGATGTCAACATAACTCCCACATGCAAACAGATAAAACAGAAGAATACAAACTACACTAAAAACCACAAACAAACATCCTAAACACACCGACTCCAGACACTGAGGAGTAGAAGCACATCGTAGCTCATCAGTGATGAAAAGTCTGATGGTCGTGGGGACGAACGGTCTTCTTGGCCTTTCTGTTCTGGACTTCCATATGCTGCTGCCACTGCCCCCTCAGGAGGGTGTGTGTGTGTGTGTGTGTGTGTGTGTGTGTGTGTGTGTGTGTGTGTGTGTGTGTGTGTGTGTGTGTGTGTGTGTGTGTGTGTGGCACTTCCTACAAACACTAGCCCCAAACACACTGAAGCATAGAAAAGACACTGGCAACAGCAGCGTGGTAAAACCTGCACAGCAGATCCTGGCCTGTGCCTGTGGAGCAAATAGTTTGTTGTATTCTTTCTGTAAAGGAATCTCCTACCATCAGTGTCGGCTGGTGAATTATTATTACTGTTTTTGGTGGGGCGCACTTTAACAGGTGTTGTTCCCAAAACACCTGTTGTGGGAAGGTGCATATGAATAACAAGGTCTTTAATACATTTGTTCTGTTACCATGTTTCTTATCCATGTTAGTCAGACCTTTATTCTGCCAGATGAGTGCAGCTGAGACAGTCTTGACACATAAATAACACTGATATATGGAACAAAGGAGGTGTCCTTGAATTAACTGACATTAAAAAACAAAATAACAGTAGATAAAAACTATCCAGCAGGTAGTCCTCTTTGAGGAGCTGCATGACGGATTGTTCATTTAGATGTCATGCACGTCATCACCGTTGGTGATCACTGAGCAGACCAGGTTAACGGCCAGGCCACAGGAGGTCTCCTGATTACGGCATCACTACCGTAGATAGTATGAAAGACCTGTAAACCAGAGACAGTGTTTATAAATCTCTGACGCCACATTCCATCATTTTTTGGTTTTTCATCATTTAAATAAAGCTGCACGAGGTGCAGTGAATGTAGAACGAGATGGACAGATAAACCCTCATTAGGCCGGCTTATCTGCAGCCCAAGGGAGGCGGTTCCTTCCATTCCCATCTTGGCTGTGTAATTAGCATAATTTGTGTCGTCACTACCGAAAAATCCAGAAATGGACAAAGAGGTGGAGCTGAGGGCTGTAACATACCCAGTGGTCAAGTATTTACGTAAAAATGACCAGAAATGAACCTTATATACATGTAGCCACTCCTTAAAGCTCCAGCTTTAAAAGCCAATGTGTCACCTCTAAAACAAACCTTTGAGATTGGTCAACAACCCGACCCATCCAAAGGTAAATACAGCCGACAGTTGTAGCATACCAAATGGCCAAGTATTTCACCAAAATGACCAGAAGTTACCTTTTAACTTACAGGTCAGACTTCTTCATACAGGTCAATCTGACACCGTGATGCCAATACAAATTCTATGAACTTGAGCCAATGTTCTTAAAAAAGGACTGCACACCATCAAAAAGTGTAACGCCACCCCTAGTCAAAGTGTTCAGTTAGGAACGTATGGAACAATCAGATCACTGATGTATGATGGAGCTTGATTATTAAGAGCTTTATATGTGAGAAGAAGGATCTTAAAATCTATTCTGAATTTAACAGGTAGCCAATGTAGGGAAGCTAAGACAGGAGAGATATGATCTCTCTTTTTAATTCTCATCAGAACTCTAGCTGCAGCATTTTGGACAAGCTGAAGACTTTTAACTACATTCTGTGGACTTCCTGAGAGTAATGGATTACAGTAATCCAGTCTTGATGTAATAAATGCATGAACTAGTTTTTCAGCATCACTCCTGGAAAGGATGCTTCTAATCTTAGCAATATTCCGAAGGTGGAAAAAGGAAATCCGACAAACTTGTGAAACCTGGGAATTGAATGACATGTCATGGTCAAAGATAACACCAACGTTCCTTACTTTGTTCTCTGAGATTAATGTAATGCCATTCAGGTCAGGTGATTGGCTAAGCAATTTCCTTTTCTGGATTTCTGGTCCAAAGATGAGAACTTCCATCTTGTCTTGATTTAAAAGCAAAAAGTTTAGAGTCATTCAATTTTTTATGTCCTCAAGACAAGCCTGTAATCTACCCAACCGATTAGGTTCATCAGGGTTAATGGATAAATATAACTGAGTATCGTCAGCATAACAGTGGAAGTTTATCCCATGCTGTCTAATGATTTTACCAATTGGGAGCATATATATATATATATATATATATATATATATATATATATATATATATATATATATATATATATATATATATATATATATGTGTGTGTGTGTGTGTGTGTGTGGCAATACGGGAGTGGTCTATGACCTGTTGACGCCAAGGATGGCAATTGTACCTGCTCGAGTGTAATTTTATTAACAACGCCACCTTGGGAATTTCACCCAAGGAATTAAAGCATATAGATTAATTTCACTTGACAGTAGACATGGTTTCAGAAGTTACAATGAATTTGTTTTATTTTATAGAAGAGACAGTTTAAAAAACATTTTAAAAACTGGCCATGTAAAATACCATAAAAGAATACTAAAATTAATGCCCCAACAGAAACTGAACCAATGAAATGTATGGAGAAACAAATTAATTTAACTCACTGAAATTAATTCATGAAGTCCCAAAAAATGAGAGTTAACTAAACACAATACAACTACAAATTTAAATAAATAAAAAGGTTAACAAGCAGGACTGAGGCTAGTGATGGAGGCAGGTAACGCGGGGCAGAGAAGCCCCAACACAAGAAAAATAATGAAGAACGTATAAAGGATTCACCCCTGGCAGTGAACATTCATACCAACGTGAGAAAACCAGCACCACCACACGCACACGGGACCACCACCTCCGAGGCCACACACCACACCTCCTGCCTCAGCCTGCACAAAGAAAAAAAAGATTAAAAACGGTATAAAATGTGTACAATATAAATCAGCTGTTCTTCCTTCTGGACTCCGGCCACGACCCAGGGAACTTCCTTCAAACAGCTGATTTAAAATGTAGAAAAAGGAAATGAAACAAAACAGCGGCGCCTCCCGCTGGACCACGGAGAAATCTAAAAGGACAAGGAAGAGGTAGAAGTTAACAAACTAACAACTGACCAAGTGTGGAGACGGCGCAGCACACACCTACCGGTCCTCTCACCGATGACCCCTGAGTAGAAGGGAACTCCCTGCCCAGCAGCAACGGGGATTCAATCTTTCCCTGGTTTTACAAAGAGCTGATGTTAAGATTGTTTGACTCAAATGTTATCTACCTGCAGAAGGTACGTACCGTTTGCTAATGTTTTGTATAGCAAAGGCAAGCGATGATGTCACACCCAACACTGAT